GAAATTTAAAAATATATTTGAATGTTTTAGTTCAGTTACATATTGTATAATGCATATAGATTAGTGAACACATGGGTTTATTTTTATAATCACCACTAAAATACATTTTGAAACATCTTGAAGGTATAAACAAAAGAGTACATCCATCAATGTAAATATCAAATATCAAAACAATACAACATACAATAGACGAATGTTGAAAATAAAACGGTAGTTGAAGTTTTTTACACAGCAGGAATATTATATTACTATTGAACATGATGATATTTAAATTTATGTAGTGTGTCTCGGAATTCGAAAGTAATATTATACACGGAACTTAGATAATACAGTAAAAGCTACTTAGAGTATAACATGTAATCGAAATGTTGGCATAATTTTCAACAATTTGATTTTCGTATGCCATTTTGAGCATTTATTTTTCTGCTTTTCAATAATATGAGTAACCTATAACGAATCGGTTCCAATTCAAATACGATAATGTTGTTTAGTTAACGAGGAATCATTTTAATAACCATATTTACAATGTGAATTCGCTATGTACAATTATATTTTTCGTCAAACGGAGTTGGAGTTTAAACAATAAAAACCAATCAAATCTTTTGTTGAATAGGTCATTTGAAGATAAACGCGTTTGTGGTTTGATGCGTTGTAAAGTATTGAATCTGAAAGCTACCATAAACATAACCTTTCACGTAACTGAAAATTTTCCCTTTTTAAACATAGATTCTTTAAAATGTATACTTTTTAGATTATAATGCACGTAGTCTCCTTAACCTTTAAGGATAGGTTAGGTTTAAAAATGCAGTGTAGGTCATAGTAACTTTCCAAGCGACTAGATAAAAGTTGTTTAGTGGACAAATTTTTCCATATCGAGTTAATTCAAAAATCAGCACGGGATGTAATATCTTATAAACATCTTAATTATACAACGCGTTCGGATTTGTCCTTTTTTTTGAAACCGAATACAAATAATAGTAAAAAGTCTAGAATTGACGATACGAGCAAATCATTTATTTGTGCACTCTCTTTTAACAGACATATCATTCAGAACGGTTAGAATTGTCAAAACTCGAGACGGATTCAGTGCTTGTGGACCTGTATGTCTAAGCAATGTACAACCATATGTTTTAATAATACTATATGAATAATATATGGCCAATTTGGATATTCACAATGTTAGTTTCTAGAAATACTGGGTAAAAGAGTTTTTCTTTATTTCGTGTTTAGTGTTTGAGATTGCTTATAACGATGGGGCGTTGACCTAGACGTAAATCCCGCAAATATATGACCGACGGTTGTTATGTTGATCGCTGTCGCCTTTTTAAACTATTGTGATCATTAATACGCTTTGGTTATCATTTACGTTCAAATTTTCTATCGATCCTATACACCCGAAATATCTTTCATCACATATTTAGTTGTATTTTAACAGTGACGGACTCCACGTGAAATCGAAATACATTAGTATTATATTGAATACTATATTAAACGGATAGGTTATTATAGTATATAAGTCATGTGCAATAACATATTTCAATGTATTTTTGCCATAAATTACGCAGTCGGAATCTTTCAGTTAATCGCATTCAGCAAATTCGGAACCTACAACCGGAATATATGGTAAATAAGAATATTTATGACTTATACAATTGTATAATGAAAACAGTAAAGGTCATTTAGAAATCGAAAACCTCTATGTATGAAGTTTAAAACTAACGATATAATAGTTCAGATTGTTTAGTACGATGTTACCCGTGTTCGAATAAAACGTGTAAGACTCTGAAATTTTATTTATTCGAATTAAATAAAAAACCAAACTACAACGTGTATTTCGTATTGAAATGAGCTATAAAACGTTTTACCATTTAAAGTCGTGGTTGACTAAAATATTCAATAACGATGAGTCGATGAGCGTAGGCAATTCTTGAACCAGGAACGGACACTTGTTTACACTTTAGAATGCAGCGTCTACACAACACAATGTTATTAACACTTTAATACTTAACAAATAATCCCCGCACCCTCAAATCACAGAATTCGTTATTAAATAATCCATTCATTTCTCATCAGTTTTTACAAACTTTTAAACAACCAAAGAAAAGAATTATTTTAAACCTAACAACCCAACACGATTTAGCGTTTTAATATTTTTAACTCGTTCAGACGGTTCTTTGTTTTCAAAACAAAATTGTTAGATTATCTTCAGGCCGATACACAGAAAAAACCCAAGCAAATGTAACAAATTAATTACGAAAATTATTAATATGATATGTTATTATAAAATAATAATAATAATATACTGTTGCAAATTTGAATACGGTTTTATAGTGACGATGTCGATGAATACTAATCAAGTGTTTTATGCAAATATGACCGAGAAAACTCACGAACGTAACGACTTAGATATTGAATCCCAGTATATTTTTGTAATTCCTGTTAAATATGTAATGTGTATTATTTGGTTCGTTGAGTGTTGCGCCATTATATTTATGCTAGTACTAATTGCATTGCAGTTTTAATCTTTCGTTTTCGTATCGTAGTACTGCTAACTATTTCCCGAAAGAAAGGAAAATTCGAAACGGACACACACCATTGTTTTTTATATAATCGAATAAGGAAGTGCGCTTTGAATAGCTTTTTCGAATCGTTATATCGTAAACGAAGGGTGTAAATAGATCGGGAGCATCGCCGGTGGCGATGTGTATAGGGCGCGAGTACACGCAACATTGTATTGTGTTACTGAAAACGTTTCAAGGCCTAGTCGAAAACGTCTGTTCATCGTACAGCGCCATCGCGTTAACGAGCAAGGGCGTTCATTAACAAAAAGTCAAGGGATATACGAGTAATTATTGCCTTTCAGCCTTTTGGAGATTATTATTGATAAGTAGTACATCTGATCTAGGAAACATGTTCATGACTTTCATTTTTTTTTTTATGAACTTATTAGTGCCCTTAAACTTAGAACGTCTGGGACAATCAAACCCTTTGCTTCACCCTCCTTAGATCCGAAATTGTCGATGGGTTTATAGTTAGTATTAATGATTCCCAGAATTCCTTCTCCCATGGCAAAGTTTTGTCTATGAGAGATAAGATTTGCTAACAAAATAAATTTAATGTACCAATCATCTTCTTCTTCATCAGCTTAACAGTATATTCAGGACCAATACTGCCATCAAAATCTTTTTCCAATACGTTGTTTATTATTAATAAATCTTTGGTCTCTACATTATTTCAATTTATATTCAACGTAAATTATTAATTATAATATTGTATTTATAAATGTAAAATAGACACGAAAAGCCAGGGGGCATTTTTACTCCTTGTTCTCTCAATGGATTCCTTTGTTCACGTGTAGATGCCGGCGCGCGTGCAAAAACCGATGTGTGTACCGCCAGTGCCGCAACAGCCTTTCAATGGGATCCGATGTTTGAAAAAACATGTAAAAATAAAGAAAAAATAAAACCATTACGTTGCAAAAATCATTAAACGTTTTGAGATCGAACACAGATAATCGGTCGATTTTGTCAAAATTTCGCTTGCGGTCTCAGTACAACCGAAATTCAAAACGGTTTGATTAAAGTGACGGTTTGCCTGCAACGAACTGATGGTGAGGGGACGGGAGAATATTAATTTTATTTACACACGGACAACGGTGTGCGGGCGCACGACGCGTTTCGCACTGGTGGGGCGACTGCGAACGACGACTATCCCACGCGTCCGGAGGGCACCGTTCGAGGGGAGGAGGGGTGGAAACTGATATAATTGATTTAGACGTTTGCGTGCGTGTGAATGCGGGGGCGGGAGGAGAACGGAGTGCGTGGTGACTTCGTAGTGCACACAACATACAGCGGTCGGTGGAACGAAAAAAAAAAAAAAACATCCTAATTTTTCCCATCTAATGACAAACGGTGATCGTTCGACGGTTCCCCTCTCCGTTTTCCACAAGTCAACGAGCCAGATGTAAACAGAAATAATAAGGGGGACTTGTTGCGCAGTGCACCGCAAATGCACATCCATACGCATAAAAATGTAAAGAAGTTTAGTTTTTCATTATTATTATTTTTTTTTTTTTCAAACGTTAAACGCACGTTCCATGTGTTCGGAAACATTTTTTTTTCGTCAACGATTCGGAACCAAAGTATTTGAACATAATCGTATCGTTTTGCAAAATAACATTTTTCAACGCAACCGTTTTAAAATGCAATTCATATTTATTCACCGCTGAGATTATATTACGATTTCGTGCTCCGAGGGAGAATATTATTCGTACGTGTTGACGAAAAAAGTTGAATTTGTTACGTAATCATCAGATCAGGACGTTGTTGTTACAATATTATGGAAAAAATTTAACTCGGTCGGAGACAATTTATTTTTTAATCAACATCTGTACCGCATTTACAACGAATTTTCGGTTGTTCCTGTTATTTCAAACCATAAATCATCATCACTTGGTAAACACTACGGCAGTATTCGTATTTACCCGTACACAATTTCAAACGCACCATCGAATTGTAAAGCATTCGCGTTTTTTAATTCAAATCGAACCGAATATTTTCTAAACCGTACGGGAAAACAGGACATCGTCATTCTTCAAACGTTGTCATCAAATCAGTTACGGTGTCGTAACTAATGACTGTACGTTACAACAGTCGAGCTGGGTGGAATCGTATTTACGACCGCGTCCCTTAGCATTGGATTTCAGTAGTGCCCACGCTAACGTTGCGTTCGAGTTTACCCGCATTGTAAAGCAGTTCAACGCGATTTACAAAAAGATAAAAAAATAAAACGTTTCGGTGTTTTTATTTTTATTTCCCGGTGAAACGTCCGCGGCCTCGGCGGACCGTCAGAAAAGGGGGACGATGACGGCCGCACCGAGGCGTTGGCCGCACACGTAACAACAACAACAACGCCACCACCGCTCCCCTCCCGCCGACGGCCGAACGGGTTCTCTCCTACGTGGAAAAAAAAAATAAAATAAAATACAATCGTCAAGTGGTTCGCCGCCGCCAACGGTTAGTACCGCGCGACTACCGAACCGGGCCGGCAGCATGCGCAGTGCGACCGTTGCTGACGATCACGTGTCAGGTGTGGTGCGTACCCGTGTTCATCAGTAATATACCGTTGCGTTGCGTCAGCGCTAATCCTCCTGCGCGCAGGATACGTCTAGGACGCGTCGTCAGTTGCAGTGCGAACTATCGTCCGGCTAATTGTTCGCGAGACCACCAATCGCATCCCGTCTCCGCCACAGGCATAAAGTAAGGAACGAATCGTCGTTTTCGTTATGTTATCGGCCGCCGGGCAACGATGATCGCACTTTTCGTCTACCGAATCTGTCGCGGTCCGTCCGATCGCACTCGGGCCGTAAACTCCATATCGATTCACCGATAGAATCCCAAACACTCTTCGTTTTCAACGGGTAAGCGCCGACGCCCGTTTCATGCTTACGTCTCTCGGAATCACATACTTGATCGAAAACGCATTGGCCGTACTTTGTATGGTTACGTTTTAAACCAAACTCCTGGGTGCGATCGGAACGCCGAGAACTTGAATTACCGTGGTACGGTCAGATTATCTAAGTTAATAATAAAACCATCCATTTATCCGGGTAATGTGCACGTGATCGCTCACGAATCCACTACGAGTGCTCCGCACTTGAGAACGGGTCGAAGCACTTTCATTTTAAAGGAAGCAAAGTAAAAGGGTCGTAATGAGTTTGGTAAATATTGTAAATCACCCTCGCGTACAAATGTAATCTGAAGGCGGGTGCGATAAAGGGACGCTATCGAGTTGTTCGAACCGATTAGAATTACTAATGAAACCGGACGTTTGTCAACTAACCCCTTTGTAGTGTGTTTCGGAAATTGCTTCAATTGCGTTCGTTTTAAAAAGATACGTATTTATTTTATGTCTCACGTCAAATTCATAGTCGAGTCTACAACTCGAATCGCGTGTTTATCATATTGACATACGTGATTTATTTTAAATCCATCATCAGTCTTGTTGACTCATTGTTTCCAACCTCATCCCACCGGTGCCGGCCGGGTACGAGTTGTCGTGAACACTCCAGAAAAATACGTGTACAATATACGAGGTTTGATCGGAAATTCGAGTCCCGAAGAAGAAAAAACGATTTATAATTATTGGTTTTCGTGTTGAACCCATAAAAGAATGATTTCTTTCCGTATATTAGAAAAATGTAAATAAATAAAAAACAAATAGTTGAAATTTTATTTAAGTGAGATCGAATGTTTTCGCGAAATACACGTGATTTAGTCTAACCTACGTCGTTTTCGTCGCAGTTGTACATGCGGTATAAATTAACAAACCCACTCGCCATACCTATGCCGCCCATACCCCCACGTATTGATACTGCTTGCGTCGTCACGAACACAATCACGCACTAGTTTTCAGGAAGTCTGCTCGCGATCGTGAAACACATAATATGTGTCAATATCGATGCTGGATCCGAGAATCGAGATCACGCTCGTTCGTACACTTGAATACGGTATCGAACGAAACGTACAGAAACCCGATAATATATTCTACCAAACACGTCACATATATTGTAATATTATATTCTCGCACGACCTAAGATACGTCGACATATTTGACGGATATAATATTTTTGTACGAAACTATGTAAAATTATCTCGTAATGCCGGTGCGGAACAAACGGTAGACTTTTCAACTTTTCAACATTCCGACGAGGTCGGGGGACATAAGTTAAAAGAAAAGAAAATATTGCAATTTTATTTATGTACAATTGTATTTTAGAATGTTTTTTATAACGTAGAAACGTATTCCTGTAAAAATAAAATAAATATATATAATATATATAAATAAATATATATATAATATATATAAATAAATATATATAATATATTTATTTATTATTATTTATTATATATATAATATATATAAATATTAATAAAATTGACGACTGTATCGATAAATCCAATTTTAATTATTTTTATTTGTCGATTACATCATGAGCCGGCCCATTAGGGGAGTTTAATTATTAAGTGCCTGTCAAGATATTATTTCCTTAATCGATAATTTAAAATCAAAACGATGCATTCCTGCATGTCCTTAGACAAAAAGCGCTGAAATGATACATATTTAAAACCTCTTAAGTATATACGTGCATAGCGAAACCAATTATTTCATAATATTCAGTATTGAGATTTGTAAAAATATTTTTCGCTTTACACACTACTCTTTGTTATATTTCGCTGTACATCCGGTGAAGCACAAATGCTCGACTATAACGTCATATTCGATCACGTAATTGGTGTAGTGCTTCTGAACGGTAAAACTAAACCGAGTAACGTGAGTATTGTATAACATATGATACAGAGAAACATAATATATTAATTATTTTCGTTATAATAACGATGCGATAGAATAAAGAAAACTATACATGTTTTTCTTATCAAAATTGTCTATTAACCATAAGTCATAAACACTTGTATTTATAATCAATGAAAATACGTTCGGTTAAAACAGTACAATGCGTCGAAACAATTAATACTCGTCCGCGTCCATCCGACTGTTTAAAACCGAATCGCGTCCTCGCGTACAGTATCAAATTAATTTCATCCCGTGGATCATCACCACGCACTTATGCATATTATTTCATACACGTGGTATTATAGAGACATTATACGGTCTCGATTCGGTTATCGTTTGCTAATGTTCATGTGTACTATTTATGTACTTGTGCCATTCGTTTAACCGTGTTAATTATGTACGCGATTAACGATGCATAATGTGCAATATGTGTACATCAACATGAGTATAATACGTGCGGAGTAATCAGTGCAGTCGTTCTATTTATACGCTTACGTATATTATGTTTGCTGGTGATTTATTCGTATTTATAATTCGATTATAAGGATTCGGATTCTATGCACTAAAGAGGACTGAAATATGGGTTAATCTTACGATATAAAAAAAATCCACAAATAATTTCTATAATATGTCCGAACACGTGAAAAAGAGCTAAAAAAAAAAATATCAGATTTATTAAAATGGTTTTCAATTTTTTTCACCTGATAACACAATATTTGAAAAAAGTTTAAAACAACTATCGAATAGTTATTTGTACGTGAATTAATTAACGTACACGAAACTAAAATACGACGGTTTTTCTATTGCTGTCGTCATACAAAAACCACAGTGTAAAAAGCGAAAAATAGCAACGGAAGAAGTAGTCAACAGCAAAATAGAAAAGTAAAATTGTTAAAACGCTTAAAAATACGTCGTGGAAAATTTTCGATTTGAAATCCTAGTCGCATAAAACCAATTTATCAGCTTAGGCGATTGTCTGCTGATTTTATCATTATTTTACGGTAATCAGTAAAGTGCTGATTGAACCACGGGGCCCGGCGATGACGATGAAACAGCAATGGATTGCAATCGTCACTGAGCGTTGTGGAAAACCGAATCGAAAGCGGCGCGGCGCGAGATCGACGCGTGCTTCATTTGACCGCACCGAGTTTCTGCCCGCGAAACGTTGTGGTCATCGTTTACCTTTTCCTTATTCTTCGTTTCCCAAAGCACGGCTGTTTGTAAGCTGAACCCAATTTATCATTTTTTTTTTTTTTTTTGGATCCGATTTTTAAACTGCGACAAAAATTTTTTTAACATTTTACAATCTGTTAAAATACCCCGATAAGATACATTGGACAAACTGTGGTAATTATTTTTACAAATATATATAATTGAGAACAGGGAGGGGAGTTGAAGTTGGTATACCTTAAATACTTAATTTAAATTTAAAATTGTTCTATTTAAGATATTATTAGACTCACAAAAAACTTTAAAATTGTTCGCATAACCATTCAGTGAACTGCTGTTATCCCTTCGAAATTAATCGTAAAGTCGATAAACGTTGGTATTGAAAAATCCGCATGATCCCGAGTATAATATACACTTACCCCATGACGAGACGCCGGACTAAATATATATATTCGCGTGCTATGGCGTTGAAGAAAATTATGTATATCTGGATTCTATAATTAGCCACGCCGTTTATTTCAAACAGCTGATTGTTTTTTTTTCAACTATTCATTTCAGTTGATTCGTTGGCGCGTTATCGACACACGGTCGTTTTTATGCAAATACGACTCAATATACACCCCTTTATTGTGAACAAATTCCGTTTTTCACTACTTTATTGTTATACATATTTTAATATGTACGAGTATATAAATATTTTTTGAATAGTATAACTTTTGTTCTGATTTTCATATCCCAACGTCCCGTAGTACACTTGTCGGTGCGCTATTTTAAACTATATATTACCGCTATATTAGTCGGTTCAATACATTATTCTGTTTACCGATTTGTTCGACCGATTCGACATTAGATTTATATTTATATTATACAAATTATAAATCCTTTTTATCCGCTCCTTACTACCTTCTACCCAAATCATATTAGGAAGACAGATTTTTTTTCCAATGAAACATGGTAATTCAATCCCGACTTCACAAAATAATGAAATGAATTCTTCAATGTAACGATTTATCACTAATACAATATAAGAAATTTACCACTTATAACATCCTTATAATCTTAAACACCACAGTATTTACATACACTGATTACACATTAATTTTAGCGTTTTCAATATTCTCCTCATCGCAACCCATCAAGTCCAACACTACTTCAACTTGATCTCATCTTAAACAAAATCCACTCTAGTAAACTTCACTTTAAATCGAAAGAAATGTCTTCCAATAATTGTAAATAGTAACTCAAACTCAATAAAGTACTTTGGAATAACTATCGACAAAAGACTCATTTGGAAAAATCACACCAGAAACAAAACAAAGCAGTACAAATCACGTATAGACTTTTTCTATAACTTGTCTTAAACTTAGTGGACTTAAGTCTAAACCTAGTATATAAAATAAAATACTCATTTATAAAGGTATTATAAAACTTATTTGGTCATAAGAAGTCCAAAGCTAGAGCAAAGCCAAACAGTCAGAAATTCGCCCACTGGAAGAGTTTCAGAAAATTAGTCTATGATTAATTACTGAATGTCCTTGGTATGTCATAAATATAAATTTACAAAATTACTTACATAACACTACACTCAAAAAATTAGTTCATTAGTATTATAATGGATTTTAATTTTCAAACTCCACAAACCTATCTCTCTCCCAAATGTCTTCTAAAACTATTCCAAGAAACCCTACTAGAAAGTTCAAAATAAATTTCCCAAGAGACGCTTTAATGCAATTTTTATAATCAATCAGTTTCAAAAAATAAAAAAAATAAAATAATAATAAAAATCAAAAGTTAAAACATAATAAACACAATAGATAAATATCAGAAATGTCAGATTTGCTTCTTAATGGGTTGCCTCAAATCACGACTTCATCTGTTTATTATTTATTGCCTATTTCGTCATCAAATTTACTTACTTTGCAAATCGTTATGTATAGATTATAAATATTATTTTAAGTAAACTACATTTTTTTTTATAATTTAAACGTATTGCCATCTAAAAAAAAGTAGAAAGTACTTATTAATTATACATTTTTTTTAACGTATACTGTTTATGAATTCAAGATAATTTGTTTTGGATTCGAGTTCGAGTTTGTAATTTGAAAACTGATTTAAATTAGAAAAAACACGTAGCCAACACTCGACACAGAGACTGTTCTCTCAATTAGTGAAAAAATAATTAAGCTACAAAAAGCGATACGATAATTAAAAGAGAAATGCCCTTAAATATAAAAAAAGTGAAATGGAAAAAAAAAATCCTCAAATCAGTTCGTACTATAGTAATATATTTTTATGTAAAAACTGTAGTTTTTGCATTTATCTTCGTTGCGTATATTATGTAAATATATGAAAACGATTCGTGTACTGTAGAATAATATATAATTGGTAAATCATTGGAATTGCATGCGAGCAATTACGATTCACGACGAGTACGAAAAATTCGTGAGAAATAATGTTTTTTTATGCCACTCCGTCATTAATTTGGTTTTTTTTACTCTTTTAAGGCCAAAGATCGCGTAAAAGGTCAATTGTTTCAAACATGCTGCTGATTAACGTTCCAATGAGTCTCGTGCGTTAAATAATTATTCGACAACAATAATTGAGCCTACACACCCATTGGAATCGTAATTTCCTTTTGACTATTATAATATTGTCTGTTTACGGGGTTGGATTTTCGTTTTTAGAACACAATTTGTTTTATGTGTTCTGCGGAATAATAACAATCCGTATCGTAGGATAGTACTAATATTATTATCGTGTTGTTTGCAATCAACGACATTCCGCGCACCGGACCGGACGTTGCTACCCTAGTCGAAACTAAACATTTTCAAACGCGTTTGTTTTTACGCGCTACTTGAGTAGAGGTCAGATATTTGATGATGCCGCGTGTTATTATAAGGAATTTAAAGTTTTTCGCTGGAAATAAATACACGCTTTCAAACGTGAACACTATCGTAGTGAAAAACAAAACGACATTAAACTGTCGTGAAATACGACGTCTACGCAATGATGTATATATTTATTTGTTTTTTCATTTATCGTTCGAAGTATATTACACTCGGTATTGTTCTTGAAATGTCACAAGAAGAACAGGTTTTCAAATAATAATAATAATAATATGAAGTCCATTATTATCGGCGGCGAGCGCGTGTAGAGTGCTCGGTCGCGTATTTTATTGACGAGCGAGTGAATTTCTCTTTAAAATGCTAAGGTGAATGTGCTACATTTAATACACATCTGACCGCCGTAAGTGGCCGCAGTACATAATCCGCGGTTGTGTCCCGTTTAATAGAGCGTGCTAAAATCCATTAATTATACAATCACCGTGTGTAAGCGCGTGCAAGTGTACATATACTTGACGGCGGAAAAACGATGCGTTGCGATGTTCACAGCTGAAGCATACGAATTAAATCAATTATTATATTAATCGAGAGAGAAAGAAAGAAAAAAAAGAAGCACTATATGCGCTTGTGCGTGGTTGTTAACAAGTCAGAGAAAGCAGATGGCCTTGTTCGGATGTATCTAAATGTGCGCAGGCCGTCCGGTCTGGACATTACTTTCAAAACAACTAGACCTAAATCGACGGCTCTTTGAGGGGCTAGCCACAATAGCCGAGTGTCTGACCCAACCGGTTTCGTCTATTGACAAATATAAATTTTACTTTTTTGATTTTTGCGCGTAAGCGCACGTAATAATATGTGCACGTGCATGCGTTAGAAAGCTAAATCGGTTTTCGATGGACTTTTCGGTATACATATTTTTTTTTCTTTTTTGCTTCGTAGACGCTCTGCATTCACGATGAACACGGAGAAACGCAGCCTGTCCGGCAGCCGGAAGACCAAATTGAGGTACACGATCCGAGGAGGATTCGACTTCGACACGATGGTAAGTCGCCATTAGGGGGGAGGCACCACCATGGGATGGCCTTGAAACGCGCCCACGGAAAAGTCCACCGTCACGTGGCCAGTGTGTTACAGTAGTCCCTGTAATGATTGATCGCGTACACGTTTTAGGGCCACACGAGGTACCACGAGCTGCGCAAATTCGTGAAGAAGGGTAATGACTTCTGCAAAGAGCTCGGAAACATTATGCAAGAAAGGTTAGCACATTTACGTCTGTTTTTATGTTTTCGTTTTTCTTTATCACGATTAACCATCGTATGCGTTAAAATAATAATCTGACGAAATTATTTTCCACGTGCGCGTGTAGAGCGGAACTCGAGTTGAATTACGCGAAAACAATGTCCAAGCTGTCGGCGAAACTGATGAAAGCCGCAAAGAAAGGCATCGGTTCCATACAAAACGCTTGGTTGATGATCAGCAAAGAGATGGAGGCCGAAGGACAAGCGCACCGGTGTATCGCCAATTCGCTGGAAGATGACATCGTGAAACCGTTGAAGAATTTGCAAGAGACTCATTGCCGGATCAAAAAGACGGTCGAATACAATGTCAGCAAGACCAGTGAGTCAAAACGTTTTTTTTTTCAGCGTTTTAATTTTTTTTTCTAACCGTTCGTCCCAATAGGTATTCTTTTATTTTTTTTTTTTTTTAGTTTTCTTTCTTTTATTTTTGATAGAAAACTAATCATATTAATAACTGTTCGTTATTGTTCGTTTTTACTAAAATATATATTGTCCGATTGAAGAAACAATACCATGGGTAACCGGTTTAAACCACAAATTATTATATCCATCAATTGAAATATTCAATGATTCGTACAACAAAAATTAAAGCTTAAGGCAATAATTTTGAAATTATCGAGAAAGTTGAATAACCAAGTTGAATTATTTACTAGAGCACTTCTGTTCGTACAAATAGTATGTTGTTCTCGTTATGGTCAGGTTATTATTACGATCTAGGTGTGAGATTAAAATCGTTCAGCAAATGTATATTATTAAAATATTACAAATATTATTATCATTGTTATATTATAACATTAAATAACTTTAATAATACTATAACATTTTTCCAACGACTAAATTATACTGTAAAAACCTGAATAAATATTTAATTTTCAGAAATATTTACAATTTCACATCAATTTAACAAATAATAATATATTGTGTTGAAAAATAAAAATTGTTTTATTCGTACAGCTTTTGGTTTTTACTAAGTTTTCGATGTTGTCTAAAAAAATATTGAATATCAATTTTGAAGTGAGATTCAAAATATTTTTTAATATATTTTCTGTATCTTTTATATTATAATATTAGATATTCCTGTAGGTATATGCCTGAAACTTAATTTAAAATAAACAAACTCAACTGACAATATATTTATAGTTAAAATTCCAATATTTTTATACGTGATCGTTGATATTGTTTTTTTTTATTACTTTATCTTATTTTTTTATTTTTATTTTGTTATTCGTTCTGTAAAAAATATTTTGTTTTTGACATTTGTCGATGATTAATTACTTTTCGTCCTAATTACAATTTAATGTAGATACATAACGATATCGATTATAGTAGACTGTAATGATACAAAAGTAATTTCATATTACATTATAATGAAAATAATTAATTACAGTGCGCCGCTAAACCAAAAAGAGGAATAAATGACAAACAAAAAATAAATAAATATGTGTTGTGTCACACAAACTATTGTATATAATACATATAATACAACAAAAGTTATATTATAACTACTATATAATAAATACATATATTTAACAATGAATTTCATAACATAAGAGCATAAACTAAGTGAATGACGATCTCTAACGTAGTTATGTGTTTAATAATTAGAAAAATGCATGAACAAATGGAGAACCGACGAGCGGAGGAGTAAAAAGGAAAGTTTTGCCGTGGCTAGGGAAAACGAAAAAGTTCAAGACATGACAACTGATGCTTCGTATTCGATCCTCACAAGCAACGGGAATCTGGCCAAAGACGCTACAAAAGTAAGCCTCATCGTTTATATTTTTATGTGTAAACAGCATGTCACATTTGTTTCCAGTTGGAGAACAAGAAGAAAAAACTGGAAGAGTCCGTGAAAAAGAGCTACACGGAGTATTACACGTACTGCGTGCGGACAGCCAGAGCCAAGTGAGTCGATTTGCCCTCCGATTTGATATTAGTGTTATTGACTGTGTAATTGAACACGTGTGTAGGCTTGAATGGGAAATGTCCATAAACAACGGCGAAAAAAACTTTTTGACCCTGGAGGAAGAACGCTTGTTGAGGTTGAAAGAATATGCCCAACACGTATTGCAGTCTTATCAAAAGTTCGCTCCGAAAATTTCACAGGTAACGTAAACGAAATTCCACGCGAACCTCATGCAATATATATTATTACTTAGTACCGAACGGAATCCCGTTCGTTCCACAAATACAAGGAAAGCGATAGTTAATTCGGTATTTTTCTAATTATATCACTCGAATTTCATTTGAAAAATAATATGTACATACTATCAAAGTTTGTACTTGATATCATACCGTTTACAATTTCGAAAATCACATATTATTATTATACCTTAGTTAAAAAATATAACCTTTGATTAAGTTGCTTACAAATCAAATCTTTAAATTATCAATTTGGTCCCAAGAAGAAATACAATTATTTGGTCGAGTATTATGCGCCTTTGAATGAATCGAGTTGGAATCTGCTTATTGTAGGCAGTTTAAAATTTTTTCATTTTTACCGTTTCGTCTTCGATTTGCCGATTTTCGATCTTTCAAAATTTCAGTGAAATGCTATGTTTAATATTATGTGACTAATGTTGTTTCACATACGATTCCTATAGATATCGTCGCGACTTAGTGAGCCTATATATGATTGCGACGTTTCGAAAGACTTTGCCATCATCACGGACACCGCGAACAGATACGACGAAGATCTGAGTCTCCAAGTGCTGCCTGATTTCTATCCCGAACACACGAATCTGGCTATGAACAAAAAGCGAAGGATATTGGTATATGACTTTGATTTATAGTATGCACTACGAATTAGTTACAGGTAGTGAAATTTAAACAACCGAATAAAATTGTACGTATAATTTTCTCGAAATTCAAATTAACTACCTAACCACATAACTGAAATAAATGCAACGAGTTTTTACGCTCAATAAAAAAATAAAAATAAATACATTTGTCTATAGCTATTAGTAGAGAGAATAAATGGCTTTTCATCAGTATTACTATAGGTTAGTGGTTAAAGTATCTTCACATTAATTTTAAACAAGATAGAACACGTATTCGCACATGAAAGTGATTAAAATGTAGTTCGATTTTACTGAAAACTGCAATCGCGGTGTATATAAAACTGGTTCATTATATTTTTATAGTTTTTATTTAGTTTATTACGCATATTTTAATGGTTTATACCGACGATAGGAATTACTTGTCATTTTTGTGTTTACAATTACAACCGATGACGTGTTACTCATTTGATGTGTAACGTTTAATAAACGAACCATCAACTTGGTCCGTAAAAGTTAAATTCAAATGAATCACTCGCACAATTTAACTCGATTTTATTCGGTCGATAAGTTCATGTGAAATATTCCCGACGAGTTATAGGGTTCGTTTACTAATTGCTGACAGCGCTGGCGGGAGGTTTTGTGGGGTCCGGGGCGGATATTTTCATGGGACCTTAGAACGATTTTCGCAATTGTTGTTAATTGATTAATCATCGTTACACTATTTCTACTACAATGTATCGATTAAACATAGTTTTGAAGTTCAATATTAGAATACTATACACATTTTCACATGGCATGTGGCACTTGTTATTTAGTTTTAAAAATAAAATCATTGGTTTACAAATTGTTAAATCTTACGAAAGGCGCGGAGTCCCTGAATTGGGGGTGCTATGGGTAGCTGCCCCTTCTGCCCAGTTAAAACCGTATTGCGTCCGTATAACCGTTAATGTAAATATTTTACGCAGGCATTGACGAAAATACTACAGCTCGTCCGGCAGGACTTGGACCGGGAGCGACGCAGCAAAAAAGGACTGGACACGTTGGCGAACGCGATGCACCACTCGGCCGGTCTGAAACACGACGACGACTCGCAGAAAAACGTCTACGAAAAACTGCATCACGTAAGTTTTACGGATAGCAAATATTTTCCATGCACCTTGAGTTGAGCGCTCGTTTTTCGTACGCGCGTTATTGTACACACTCACACCTTCCTACTCACATCGTTTCCGTTCGCAAATCCTTTTCGAGATCAACTGTGTACACGAGTTGTATGCACTCGCCCTCGCATCGACGCAAAAATTATTTCTCAGGACCTAACCGCATCAGGCCGCGTTCAATGCGCGCGGTTATAACCTGTCACCTAAATCGTTTTTAATATTAATAAAAGTAAAATTTAAATGAATAAATAAAAAATACCAACGTTTCCGAGAGTGGTCAGGGAGAGAAAGAAAACCGACTTTCCTCCGCGGCTTAAGGGTTACAACCTTCCCCTATCCGTATAAGAACCTTAAGTGGGTGTGAATTTTGTTCAGGAATGGCGCACGGCCGTATGTACAGCACACCCGGCGGGTCAACGTGTATAGTTATTATTATTTTTTCGACATGTCCAACGTAGTAGTACATAGTTGTGTATGAAAATAAAAATTTTGTTTTGTTGATCAACTTATCAAACCGTATCATAATATTAGGTTTCAAAAATCTACTTGTACGCAAAAAAAAAAATACATTTCTCTCTAAAACCGTATATATTTCTAGCACTTACAATCGCATTACTTTTGTCCCACATAGGTTAGTGCGTGCTATTGTAGTCGAACGTCGTTGATTCACTATTCTGCCGGGAACGCGTTAAATCGATCGATTAAATCGATTAGTTTTACTGAACCGAAACAATATAGTCTTAATCGTGTCTCAAGTGACGAGTAAGGATTACGGTCGATCGATTTCCTCCACCAAGAAAAATGATTACGCGCTTGTACGAAATTAGGCATTTAATATTGTTTTTTCTAAATCATGTAATAACAAGTGTCTTCCACTTTGGGACTTTCACGATTTTCATTTGCTTTGTAAACTCAATGTTACCGTAATCATTGGAACACGAACCTTTTTAAGCGGCGATCGTATTTGCGTTTGCTGCACATCGTTCTAACGGCTTAAATTATGTATAATTTTTTTTTTTCGTACGTTCAATAAAAGCATTTCCAAAACCGTACCTCGAAACGAAAGTCTTACGCTGCGTTGGTGGTTGTGACATGATAATAATCGTAACGATCGTTTCCGTTGTTCCTCGACCGACCGCGGTTTTATCGGCTCGTTACGATTAATTACCGACCCGAGCTTGCGGTATCGCGAAACAAGTGGAGTGCGCGCGCCGGTGGTTCGATCTCGGGTATTTCTTTGTTTTTTTTTTTTTTTTTTTAATCGTTTTTTTTCCGTTCGCAGACGAACCTGATGATACTGTACTTGGAGGCAGTCAATTACAAAGTGGTCACGGCTCTGGAGACGTTGGAAGGTCACCCGCCCACCGTGTCCAACACGTTCGCGCAGCACATCGAGACGACCCGGGACAAAAACGGTCATCAGATGTCCGTTCTCAAAGTACGTGCACGTCGGTCGTCCGCGTGTCGTTCGGTGCCGGCCTTTTATTCCACCCCCCCTCTTTTCCTGTCGCTATTTATTACATCGTTCGCGACTCGTGTTTTGCAGATGCCCGCGTCGGTGTGCCAGAAACTGACGACCACGCCGTCGGCGGTGACCACCGTTGCCGCGCACGAGTCCATGTGGTCGGATCGCGGATCCGCGGACGGAACGGATATCGGTACGCGATTTTCTGCCCACGGTCGCCCGGGCCCTGCCGACGAGTCGTCGGGAACCGCGGACGATCGTAAGACTGTCGGCCCGGCCCGAGCACCGTTCGTGTTATCGCACGTTATCACCACCGTCGGAGTGAGAGTCTCGAAGGCTTATCGTCTGGTCTTCCCACGATAACACCGGTCACCCATCCATAAATACGTACATGTGTAATTGTAATGTTACGATATTGTGTACCCGTACGGCGACAAAAATGTTCGGACGATTCTAACCTCCCCCGTAGTGCCATATAAAACATGACGTTATGACGATCGAAACCGTATTTAATATTATTATCATCAGGGCCGTCCCGAAGGGGGTTCTTGGGGGGTTGTCTCACCCCCCACCCTTCCCCCCTAATGAAAACACCAGTCTGCAGTCGGACTTGTTTCGTTTTAGCCTAGAAGTACCTAATTTTACTTACGAAAACAAATATTACATATTTCGCAATACAGTGTATACACGAATAAAATTTAAATAACTACTTATTATACAATATAAAAGATTATTATATGTATAATTAAATTGTCAATTTTAAGAACGTGCGACACTGACACATACATGCATGTTAAAAAGTAAAAATACGACTATATATAGTTAATTATACTACATACATTGAGTAAAAAATTTTTAGTCAGCAATATTCTTATTATTCGCCCCACCCTTGATTTTCATCTTCAGAACGGCCCTGATTGTCATACTATGTTTGTTGTTCAGTGTTGATTTTTTTTTTCGTTTTTCGTGTTTCGAAATACTGCGATATTTTAATACGAGCGTAAGCCCTGTCCTGTCTGAAAGGAGAACCATATTATTGTTTTCCACGTTTCGAAGTGGACGGATTTCAGGGATTCGTCTGACGACATGGAATCGGTTTAAACGAATCTCTGGCAAATAAGTAACTCGTCAACGAAAACCGGCATGGTAAAACTGGCTTTCTAAATGTTATTTCGACCTTGAGGGTTGTACACTATCGCCGGCGAGAACGATTATTTACTACGGTTCAGTACAAATCATTCGCATTTATTTGTACATAGAAATTTAGGTTTTTCCGACAAATATAAATCTCAGTCGTTGGACATCATTTTATTGATTTAGAAAGTTGTTTTAATTAAAAGATACATATATATTGAGAAAAAAAATATCATAAGTATAACAGTTAATAATACTCAAATATTTAATGTTGCATATTCAACTCGAATAAGCAGACCGAACTATGAAATAAAAAATGGTTAATAAAAATGTTTTAAAAAAAAAATAAAATAAAAATAAATAGTAATAATACATATTTGCTTGCAACGCAATCATAATAATATGTTAGGCTTATTTTAAAGTAATGTGATACCTGTTAATATGGTATAGAACTTATTATTATTTTCGATTATAATTAAAATCGTACAATAGTATTTAAAATATAATATAAATTAAAATTAAAAATGAGTAAATGGTTTTAATACTCAAAAGTTGGTATATAAATAAATGAACAAATAGTTTGTATATAAAATCAAAAACTCAGTCTGGAGTATTATTTAATTTCTAATGCACGGCATTTTTCGAATTAAAAATCTATCATCAGGGGTATAGAAAGTCGCGACTATTATTTATACTAGTAATGATAATAATGTACTGTTATGTACCAATATTGTTTACATTTATTCGTGTATTCATTTCTATATATAAACTGTTTATTTATTTTATGTGCTAAAAGTATTTAGTTTCAAAAGTGTATACCGTCGTTGTGTCGACCGAACGTTACGGTATTATAAGGTACACGATTTCAGCATACCGTTTAAAAACTGGATGGTCGGGAAGGGATGGGTTGATTCAAGAGAGACTCGATATTCCGGTGGACGTGAACGATTTGCACAGGACAACTGTTGTACAGCGCGATACTTTCGAGTAGAACATTGTACCGCGATACATGCCATCGGCGTACTAATCGCGAGGGTAATTGTTGCGTTTGCAGATGATTTCTCGAGCGACGAAGATGATGGCGCCGACGAGGAAAACGTCGACGGTCCGCGTTGCAAGGCTCTTTACCATTATTCGGCGAAACTCAACGACGAGCTAAGCTTAGAACCAGGCAAGTCGAACGATACCGTTCTAACAACGAACGATGGCCGTTTAAAATATGTTATTTACCGAACGCCGTTTCACATGTTGTATTTAGGCGATGTCATACACGTCCATAGCAAGAAGTCCGACGGCTGGTGGTTAGGAGAGCTGAAGGGCGTTACCGGAGTGTTTCCAGCTACATACGTCGTAGAGATAGACTGAAATATATATATGTATATGTGTGTTTTAAACGTGTACATAGTGTAATTATAAGTTTACCAAAGATTATTAAATTCTAACAAATCACACGCAGTTTATAACATATTACATGTACAATTTTTCTTTTTAACGTTAAAATTATCATAAGTACATGCGTTAATCGTAATAGTTATCGTTACAAAAATAAAACATTTTCTTAATTTTTTATTTTTATTTTATTTTGTTTTTAATTTTTTTTTGTTCCGCTAGGTTTAAGATTAAAAATTAAAAAAAAAAATTTCACAAATCATACACGCATCAAACGTCTTAAAAATAATAATACAATACCACAAAGTTTGAATACATAATAATAATAATAATAATAATAATTGTATAAATAAATTACCACAGATAAAGCTCGTGGGAGGGTTGTGTGGATCGGTTTTTCGCGGGGAAACGACGGACGGGCTTCGGACGGTCAGAACCATTCGTGGTTTATTAAGGGGGGGGGGTCGAATGACTCTGGATCTATGGAATGGACGGATCGCGCGTGGATCACTGACGTGTACGGCGTTTACAAGGAGGGGCGAGGGAGTGAAAGGGTGAGGGCACGCGTTTAATATGTGTTGATAACCGTGCGGTTATGTACCACCGGCAACGATCGGGGACAGAGTGGGTCAGGAGAAGGGCGCGGCACGATCACCAAACTTGGCACTTCTTCACCGGGTTCATGTTGGAGCCCAGCGGACATTTGAAATCGTGGCTGAAGTCTTCCAGGTTTGAGAATGGCCCGATGATCCGGAACCGCCCGGGCGAATGGAACCCGGTGGTGATACGGTTCTTGAGCGTCTCCGGCCGGTACTTGGAGCACCACACGTTGGCCGCGCTCACCCAGAACATCTGCTGTGGTGTGTAGTCCTGCAGCCCCGGTAACCGCGGTTCTATGCCGTTCCGTTTGGTCCACACGTTGTACGCGTAGTACGCTTCCTTCACGCCCCCGTTGTCGGCAATGTTTTCGCCCTGCGTGTTGATGCCGTTCAGCTGAAAAACAAAATAAAAACCATCAGCGACAAACGCCAACCGTCGACGACGCACAGCGCTCGACTTTGTGAAAATAAAAATCAAACAAACGGAGGGTACTCTATACGCGGCGCATTCGGTTGTAGCCGTAAATCTCAACAGTTCCGTGAATTCGTTCGTGATATTTTAACACGTTTTATCATCTCTATTGAAGACTGCAGAGACCATTCGTACGATATTGCCAGCAAAACGTTTGGACAATATACAATCTACAAACCAGAGTATGAATCTAGGTGTGAAGTATAAAAAGCGCTATTAAAAATGGAAAAACTGAAACACCAGAAACTCGAAGTGAAGCAATGGATTGTATCATCGATTTGAATACTTAAAAACTCACTTTATGACGATTTTATGGAAATATTTACTTATTAGACTATATGATGTAAATATATAACTGCAAAGCATCGAAATTTATATAGTCATTGTTTTGGACTTGTATGATTCATTTGTTGAGCTTATAAGTTCACAACGTGACGAATTTTTTGGTTATGAAGAGTACTAAATCGATTTAAAATAAAACAATATACAACTAGTGTATCAAGAAAAAAAAAGGATCTAATAAGACGAAAATAAGACTGTCGATACTGAACTTAATGAGGAGAACAACTTCAGAATAAATACTTTTGTGATTATTCTTGATGCATAGGAAAATTAACCATTAAAAATATGTCAGACATATAGTTCATTCTGTGAACCTTTTTATTTTTTAATAAGATTGTTTGAATTAAAAATAATAATAAAAATAATAATCCTTGTGAGATAAAACAAAAATCGAAAAATCTTTGGAAAATATACCAAACTGGTTTTGATCATGAAAACTTGCAAACCGAGTTATTACATTTAAAAGAACATTGAATTATTAAATTTGGTCGAGAAAAATTATCTTCTCAAAAATTAATTAAATTTATTCATGAAAATGAACTAAAAATAGTTTACCCAAATATAGAAATCGTTTTAAGAACTCTTATTTGTACACCCACAACTAATTGTTCTGTTGAAAGATCACTTTCGTGTCTAATAAGATTAAAAACTACCAATGATTGACAATAAGCCATTAAAGATTTTTTGCTTTAGCAATATTGTGTATTGAAAACTAAAATATAACAGAAATATATTATAAAGATATCATAAAAAAATTCTTAGAACAAAAAGGGAGACGAAAAATATTACTTTAATATTTTAATTAACTTTAATAAGTATAAATTATTATTTGTATTAATTATTTATTTTGTAATTGTAAATAAATAAAGTTCTCATTTAATTTTACATTAATAGACTTCAAGGATTTTTTATAAGTTTTTATAAATATTATATACATGTTTCTATGTTCATTGTTTAGTATTTACTTGGCTTTTTATATTTCCATTAAGTAACTGCACAAGCATTCTACTGCTAACTAAAGTAAATTATTAGACATGAAATATATTATTTTTAAAAGGTGTGTATTTATGGTTTTATGTAATAGACTATAACTATGTATCTAAATACTCGATCCGTTTGGATTTCGCGATTTTTTTTCACCGTTACGCACCTAATCGATTCATCTATAAATATATCGTGTTTGATAATTTTGTGTAGGTACCAATAGTCCAGAGCAGAGCAGAAATATGTAGAACTCTTAACTGCTGTATGTGTGTATGGGTGTGGGTGTGTGTAATATTACTCGTTAAACACTACATGTGTGTTTGCAATGAGTTATTTGTCCTCGCCTTTAAAAGGATACCATAACCATACGTGCTGTCTCTCTTCTGACGAACATACAACTTAGCAAATATGCATTCAGAAGTTCAAATGTAGTGATGTTAGCTTTAATATTTGAGTAAACTGACCTTCAACCAAACTTTAAGGGAGGAAAATTATCTGCGTTTTGTTGGACGGTACTTCCAATATTTTAGTTTTTAAACAAGTTATTAGTAAGTAAAATATTACAATAAAAAAAAAAATTCATAACTAGCTTAATAATTAAAATAAAACCGACCAAAAAAGCACAGATAATGTTTTTTCATTAAAGTTTAATTATAGCTGAGTGTATATCATTACATTTAAAATATTGAACGCAAATTTGGTACATTGTATGTGTGTCGGATGAAAAAATCATATACAGGGGAATGACGTCCTCTTAAGGTTTCAATGATCATTATAATAAGCGCCTAATGAACACCGTTATCGGTACGCGCATTGTGTTAGCACGCGGTGACGTTTCCGTACACGAATAACGTATGGTGAATCGCAAGTACGCGTGCGTTCGGAAGTTTTTGGAAATCGAGAAGAAGCAAGAATGTATACTTTCGGTGTGCGGGTCGCGGGATCGCACAACTTTTTTCCACACCTAGCGTCATTTATATCCCCGCGCGACACCGCGGTACAACGGTCCGAAGTTATTGAACATTTTAACATCTTCCTGCGTGATTGGCTAGTATAGTCAACGTCAAAGCTAACGCGCATATCACGTGCGGTCGTATTTGGAAAAGAACTATAGCGCACGCACCTTGAGACCGACTTCTTGAGCCGTGTAATTTCCGTACTGCTTGATGATGCACGACGCCTTCTCTAAATAGCGTTTCTTCGTTTCCTCCGCCCACCAGTCGACCAGGTTGCCCTCTTTGTCGAACTGTCTACCTTGGTCGTCGAAACCGTGGGTGATCTCGTGACCGATCACGAACCCAATGGCACCGTAGTTCATGTACCGCGGACGGTCGCTGGAGAAGAAAGCACCTTGCAGGATGCCGGCCGGGAACTCTGGAAAACCGATAACGCATCAGTTTCGGTGCACGGAGATCGCGCAAGAGTCGCGTCAACAGGACACGTGATAGTAGTATTAATTTATTCTACCATCTTGTCATACGTACGAATACTGTTTTCGATAGCGCTGTAAAACGCGTTCACGATCGCAGTCCTGCTGTGCGTGATCCAATCGGTTTTGTTGACAGGTTGCCTTAACTTCGAAAAACTATAGTCCGTCCCGAATTTGGTCAGATTCAATATTGATGTATAATAATCTTCGTCGTTGACTTCGAGCTAGAAAAATTAAAACGAAACCGCAGGTTCAGCGATGAAATGCGTTTGCTCGTCCAAAATAACTGTATCATATTTGTTAGACAGAGCACTACACGTAGTACCTACTTACCTGGTAATAAAATTCGTTCAGTTTTTTGTCATCCAGCAGCTCGTCGGGATACGCGATGTGAGTGGACATCGACTTTGCTTTGTCTATCGCGTTTTTCCTGAAAGTAAATTATTGTGTTCTTAATCGTTTCGACCGACATCGATGCATACCTGCAGCAGTCGATTTTTACCTTGTTTCTTCGTCCATCCAATCGACGGTTCCCAATATTTTGTACATTTCTTCTCTGATTCCGTTGACCATTTCTAAAGCATTTTTCTTAGCGTTTTCGTCAAAAAACCGTCGTACGTACAACGACCCGATAGCCAACGAGAAACTTCCCGAACTTATGTCGACGCATTCCTTCCACCTAGGCTCCCTCTCGGTTCTTCCGGATAACTCGGTACTGTATTCCAATTGTCTTTTCCTCATTTCTTCTGTTAAATAACCCACAGATGCTGCGGCAGCCCTCCAAATCACATAATTTGCTTGGATTCTAATTAATATAATCAAACGATGATTATTATTATTATTATTATTATTAGTAATCGAACGTTATATAATAATAATTATTTTTATCGTGTTGCATTCTCTCACCTTTTCGGTGTCGTGCTTAAAATGGCTTCGAGGTCCGTCAAGTATTTCGGAGAGTTAACAATAATGATATCGTCCTGTCTAATTGTCAGCGGGTTCAAAAGTTTATTTAAGTACTCATGCCACGGTATGCTTGGGAACTTTTGTTGCAGGTCGTCAATTTTCATCGGGTTGTACAGTTTAGCCGCGTCCCTGCGTTCTTCCAGGGGTAGCGATATTTTGGCCAAACTTATTTCAAAGTCCAACGACTCTCTGAGCTCCTTAACAGCTCTCTGGCGATCGGCACCGAAAAGCATTGCAATATCTACCATGTACCGGTAATACGCGGACACAATCTTTTCGTCGGTACCTTTGACCAGATATTCTCTGCTCAATCCCAAGGAAGCTTGATCCAACTAAAAGAAACACGTATTGTATTATTATATTATCACGACACGTAAACCAGCTGACCATTTTTATTGAATTTAATAATTTTAGGAAGAATGAACTAACAATATTCATCCAAAATATTTAAATTGAAATTTGAACAGTATATTTGTTTGACATGAAACTGAAAAACTCGAGTCCATCCTCGTGCAACTTTAATAACCAAATTTTGTGAGGGTAGGCTTCACAAGTTATGAATTGATTATCAAATTATCTGGTCAAAAATGTTGATAATGATGGGTTGGGTAGTTCTATCTTTATCATATACGCTAGCTATATGAGGTGCATTTTTCTTCTAACCTGTTCAATTCTCCGTTATATATTCTCCATTAGATATTCTTAAATATACTTACGTCAATTGCTCTGGTCGTTGTATTTTTTAAATCGGTACTGATGGAGAAGTCAATGAAATAGTCCACGCTGTAACCCGCGGTTCTGAACTTGTATACGCTATCCTTCCATGTAAAATCGGCTTCGTTCCATTTGTCACCTTCCAGCACAGGCCATCCGCCGAGGCTTTTCAACATTTGTTTTATCGGTCCCAAACCTTGCTTTTCGATTTTCTCTGTTTGCAATACACAATGATTTACAATATTATTCAATATTAATGCTATGCGGAAAATGCGCATTGATTAATCACCCAATACAAGGCCGCAATATAAACACTCCCCTTTCCCATTCCGAATGATATTTTATAATTTTTAGCTTATTTGAATTACACGTAAAGCTACTAGGTTTCTACTGGAATCGTAAAAAATGTCCGACCGTGAGCTATTTTTGCTTATTTGTTTCTCTTTCGGTGTTCTTATTTTATTGAAAGATTTCAATGCAGTTAATGTTTAGATTTATTACCTTTGTCCATGCAAGACTTGTAGAGCAACTTGGCCATTTTAAACGGTTTCTGTTCGTTCGGTTGAATAGGTTCGGTGACGATCATCCGGAGTTTGTTCAACAGAGAGTCGCTGATTGCACTGAACGTCGTGTGGGACGTTTTGTCATCATCGATGAGTGTTTCCTTTATGAAATTTCCACACGCGAACTGATAGAAATCATCGCAAGGGTCTACCGACGGATCCATGTTGTTGATGACGGCGGCCGCTATATTATGTCAAACGGTTTTAAAATATTGTTAAATGATTAGCGTTTAACAGCGATAATAGTACGTCAATACATCGCTGGTGACAGCGGTTCGATAATATTAATAAAAACGTCGCTCACCAGCTTTCACGCAACCGGCAGTCAGACAAATGTTGTCCTTTTCTTGTTCCCTGGTCTGAAAGAGACTTCTGCCCCGAGCTTTACCGATCAAACCATTGTTCTCAGCCGATATCGACGGGAGACTCTCTGCGAAAATAAACGTTTAAAAATTACTTGATTTGATACGTTTAGTAATCGATCACATCATGAAGAAGTATAATATAAAGTTTTACTGGATCGATTAATCACCAATCATACATACCTATAAACACTAAAAATTACTTATTCTGCGGTTTTTTTTTATTATTATAAAACCGTATCTTTGTCACTGTAAATTAATTGTAAGTAATACTGATAATATAATATTTTTTATATTTAGACGTTTTAACCGAACTATTATTTTAACTGCTTAATATTTATCTAAAAATAAAGAAAATTATTGATAAGTAATTATTCATCCTTATAGCTTAGGTGTCGACGATCAAAAGTTAAAAATTAATTTGAAATAAAGTATATTATGCAATTATATAGGCCAGAAAATATTTAGTACGGCAATTTTCAATATAAATATACGGAAAACAATGAGTTAACATTTTTTTTTTTTTTGTAGAATTTTTGCTTTAAATAAATAAGCTTAACAATTACAAAAGTATACAGCTTGGAAAATAAAGACATTGGATAATGATTCAATGTAGAATGTGGTAGCGTGACGAGACTATATAGACAATTTTAGTAATAATTATAGTATTAATAATAGTAGTAATAATTGTTATAATAATAAAAATTGAGAAATATTAAACTGAAATAAGAAGTTAAATCAGCGGAATAATGAAAAATACAAGCTTTAGGAGAGGTTATAAAAGGCGGAAAACGTTATTTTAAAACTATTATTAGTAATGATAAAATTAATGAATTGATAACAGTTTTAAGGTGTGATTCCTATAACGCGTCAGACGCATGTGGCTAACGCAACGCGTCTGACGTAGTATACTGCTATCACGTTATCTAATGGGTGCGTTTTCCTTAAGAGAATCCTACGTCACTAATTTTTAGTATTTAAAACATACTCATGCAAAATAACTCTAACTCGTTAAAAAGATTTTATGATAAAACTACCACTTATAATATTAATAGACAATAACATTTCCGAAGGCTCCACGTAGCTTTTTTTTAAAAATATAATGTTTTAAACGAATTACAACTGTTTTAAAATACAGAAATAAATATTTTTTGTACATTAAATATCTCTTTACTTAATAAATTTATCAGAAAAATGCTACGTGGAGTCCTAGTAAATGTTATTTTATATCGATTTTATAATAGCTAATTTTACTCTAAAACCATTTTTTGAATCTCTTTTAACTGCTTTACGTGTTTTTTGGTATAAACTTTTATTATTCATCAGTAATGTGCTGCCACCTATGTATTACGAACACGACAACGTTAACAAATTTGCGACTGCTGGCAACCGCTAGAGCCGCACGGACCGTCCAGTAGAGGATCAAATATATTTCGAGAATTTTACTTTTATTTTCAACAACTTTTAAAACCAATCCGGAATAAAAACAATGGGAATTTTATGATAAAATGGATAATATTCGTGGCCCAAATAACTTGACCTATATATGACTTGAATATTATTTATGGTAGTGGATTGGTGGAGGTACCTGATAAATACCAAATACGGTTTCAATGGTTTAAGTAAGAGTGTGTGGAATTTGATCTTTACCTTATCGTATACGTATTTATTATTTAAACTATAGTTAGTTGCACCATCGGTCAGGCACGGGTTTAATGAACAATTGTTGCTTTTTTTGTCACTTGTATTCCTAGACGAAGTTGATGATGATATGCATACATTGCGTTTAGACGAATTCCACAACATGATCGGATTTACGATTACTTAGTTAAAATCATTAGTGGAGTAATAAGTGATCAACTAAAATTTGTATTTAAAATGTATAATAAGGTTATTGAAAATCCAAAATAAATTACGACTTTGTGTAAATCTGACTACTTTTCAGTACTTGAAAATTTAAAAAATAAGCTAACCTAACCTCTATTGGAGAATTTTTTACCACTTTTCTATGCCTCGAACACCTAATTTAATTGATAAATACACATTTTAAATGGATATATGTAGTGTCTGATGAGATTTTTTTTAAACTAGTAAAATTACTAGTTATGGAGAATCGCATTTGCGCTCTGTAGGAAGAAAGGTATTTGTCGACTCTCTCTGGAATAATTTGTGATCAATTAGTGGAAATAAACTTGACACGTATCTCGCGTTAGTAAGCAATAATTTCACTTTTACGCTGTACACAATTGCTTAGTCTATGTGAGTATATATGTTTTTATAGTTATAGCGGCAGGTATATTTATATAACGCTGTATTAAACGACTTTATGAAAAACAGTGAAATTATCAACACAGGCAAATAGTTTTTACAATACCTATTTGAAAATGACGAAAATCCATAAGAGGAGAGAAGTATACTTTCCACGTACTAATGTATAGGTCGTAAGATTTATGTATGTTTATGGTAGGTACACAGGTACATTAACTGATTACCAGGTATAAACCGAACGGGTATAATATAATAATTATACGGGCGTAACACGTTTCCACCAAAAGTAGACCTTTCCCGTTTCCACCAAAAGTATATCTTTCCCTTTTCCACCAATATCCGTTTCCAACAACTGAGATAGAATACCTACACTTTTCATGAGTTTTTCGGATTGATGTAAAATGTATATAAATATACACACAATATAATCAATGTATATTGTACGTTTATCGTATTTAATTGTATGTTAAACCATTATCGTACTTATCTTTTATGTCGATTAACCATGATAATATCTAAATAATCAAGTATTTTATGGACAAGTGAAAAGATTGCACAGTTTAAATAGTGAATTAAAACTGCGTGTGTGTTAAAATAAAACGTAATTTTTAAAATTTATAATTCTGTGATGGCTAGAGTTATTGAAAGTAAACGTAGAAACAGAACACTAGTACTATATAACTTAAATTTTTTTATTGGATCAGTTGAAAAAAGTTGTTTCGCAAAAGAGTATACTGATAATAAAAATGAAATATTATGAAATATTATATAATACCTTTACATTTATTGAATTAATAGTATATGTTAAATAAAATTATTACTGTGTTATGGCTTTTAATTCAAGCGTAGTATACAAGCGTTTTGGTAAAAACGTGGTCAATATTTCATTCGGTGGAAAAAGGAAAGATACACTTTTGGTGAAAACGGGAAATCGTCCAATTATACTATACCCGTTCAGTTTATCACGGAATGCAGGACGAGAAATAAGGTCTTTGAATCGGCTTACCATATTCGTTTAATATTATAACGTAATATTTATGACAAAAAAATCAACCGAACATGGACAAATTGGTACGTTTAAGTGCAAACGTCTTGTTGTGATAATGTGATTATGTCGTTGATATTTTCAAAAGAATTTTGAATTTTAATAATTATCTATCACTAACCGACTCGTGATTAGTTGTTTATTTTGCCTTCGGACGACATGTAAAATTTTATTCAAAAATAAAATATTATATATAATAATATTTATTTATTTTATTTTAATTTATCAATCATATATGCGCCGCTGTAGAAATGTCAAAAAATCAATTGGATATAATCTATCGAGTTTTTTTCATTAAAAATTCAAGGCTTATGGGATTATGCGATTGTGATTGCCTGGTGTAGGTATTTTTCTCAATAATATATTGCATATGTATGAGTAATTAATAAAACGCTGAACAGATGTGACAATTTGCAGACGTAAAAATCTTCCGGGTTTTGGCGGAAATAATCTGTGTAAAAATACTTTGATTCACGGTTCGTGTAATCGTTTTTAAAATTACAGTAATTTTATTACGCGCATTATTTATTGCGGAAATAGAAAATGGTGGCAAATTTCCCGTCATTCCGCTTCACCCTTTGCGCTTCGCTTTTGTGGAAATGTGCATCATTTTTCATCATAATATCCCTCCTGTAAACGCCCCGTGAAGTATGTATTCGGCATTTTAGTTATGCAATGTACAAGTCAAAACTTTGTAATCTTACTAAATATTATATTTTAAAACTCGTATGCTTATACAGTTATTGTGTTCAAATTAAATAGTGGTTTTAAATAAGACTTTATGTGCATCTGAAAATTTTAGTTGACGCAATACATTCATGATTCTAAGATTGACCAGACGGATTGACGGATAAATAGCAATCAAAACAATATTTTTTTTATGGGCACTTTTTGGAATAGTAAAATTGGGCGAAAAGTTTTACATAGTAACTTTTTGTCAGAAATAAGACATAAGTATAATATAAACAAGTCGTTTTTGATTTTAGGTAGTCAATTTATTGAACGTACAGGAAAACGGAGAAATGTTCAATTATTATAATATATATATATTTAATAGTTTGAAAACGCAATGAAGTACTGATCAAATAACTGGTATTTATCGTTGTGTTGCGAATTTAAAACAGTATACTACTAACTACCTTATTAGCTATGGGTATATATTTTTTAAAATCAGTATTCAAATCTAAGAAACTATGTGCTAAATCATTGTTTGGGTACGAAGTATTTAAACTAGTGCTTCGACTGTTAGTATAATTAGTTGGTATTATATCATGTCTAATCTCAACTTTTTTTTTTAGTAACCAAACTCAAGTATTTAAACCTTATCGTTGAACTTTTAAAGTATATTTTAGAGATTTATAAAATAAATATTTCCCGGTGAATTCAAGGTATCGCATTGGAATGAAATATAATATTCAACTCGTAATTTACAAGTCTGAGCAAACGGTGTAACGAAATAATGTTTATGTTTTAATTTTCTGCCGCGCTCGTTCATGTTTGTTTAGTGGAATTGCGTGACGACTTGTTCAACGTAATATTATAATATAAATTATTATAGTAATATGGAGCACGGCAACAATTTTGCTAACGGCACTGACCAGTATACGCGCGAAACTAGTTTATCTCGCAGGTTATTTTTAACACATTTTGATATATTGTATAATATAAGACAACGTCTAAAACGATATACCTACGTATTTAAATGCACTTATACACCTGTGTACCCGCGTGTACCGTTACTCTTCATTTACATATTATCACCGTACGCGCACGAGCACGATGGACCAGACACAAGGATATTTTATTCATACACCGTACGTACTCCGCGGAGAAGTATTAATATTTTTTCCTGTTTTACCGGGTGCGCATCAAGAGTTAATAATATGTCAAAATCAAATGAATATCCCATAAAAATTATAATCCCGATAATTTCATACTGAAACAGAACACGTTGAATACATACAGTCTACCTGACCACCCATAACTCGGCATGATCAATTTCGGGATAACGTACGTGTATAAGATGTTTAATATTTTTAAATTTCCAAGACGCTCTCGCAGGTACCCTGAACTATAATGCACCGGTCTTACCCATATTGCAGTTGTGGTTAAAATACAGCGTAGACAGGGCTAGAGCGAGGAACGAGGACGTCAACAGCATTCCACCGGCTACAATGGTCAGGTTGCGTTCCAAGTTTGTCCTCCTTTTCCACCATGTTGGGTTTCTGGAACAAAATCAAAAGTCACTGCGGTGTTAAAAAATAATGCGTTTAATGCTGTTTTATTACTACAGGTTTCTATGACTTTTACTATGGGATCATATACTTATATATATATATAATATTATGTAAAACTTTTGGTTAACATATTTTACTGTCATTGGAAAAATCAATGATATTGTAAAGAAAATAACGATAGTTCCTCGCTTAAGCACAGACTCTTATGAAAATACGTAATACGCTTCTGTGGTAAGACGTACAGTCGTGTTATATCATATTTATACCTGACAAGTTTTTTCCTATGCTCATAAAATGCATGTCAACGATTAATAATAAAACAATAATATAATTCAATTAGCTTTAGCGTGATTTCATCATCATAACCAGCGGGTAAACGCGGAAAACAAGATAAAATTATCAAATGGTTATGTTGACAGTTCTTTCTTAAAATTATTATTTTTTTCCGCATAAGAACGTACAACCTAGTCTATTATAATTAGTGCCCATCGTAGCAGCACATATTCAGCATTTGGCGATGTAATAAAGAAGAAAAATCGCTTATACAATGTAAGTTCAACTATAGCATTGTACTTCTATTGGTTCCACACAACAAATCACTACCCAAAACGACCTTGTGGAGCGTAGCACTTCTCTATAGTTTGTTTTCATGCACGTGCGTGCGTGTATGTGTATGTGCGTTTGTGGTTTGGTGTGTATGTATATACATGCTTGAACCGAGCAAAACGTAATTCCGCGTTAAATTATATGACATGACATGTTTCTTTTTTATTTTACTACGACTAAGCCGTTGCATACACTGCCCTGGTATAAGTATTATTATGAATTATGTGAAATATTTTGAATACAATCTAAAAACAATGAGCTATTAAATCTAACAAAATATAAATGTAATATTGCAGTTTGTGTTTTCCACTATTTAGGTACATATTGTATGGTGTACAAAGGTTGTATACCTGCCCGTACTGCGTCGGTGCGATAGTTGCATCTCGTAGACGATTACGGTTCAATTCACGTCAATTTAAGTAAACGCGAATTTCGTTCTAGTTCGGGACGGAGACAATCATTTCTGGGCGATTTAAACTGCTTTCGGTCAATATTTTATTTTTCACAACACCACTATGTTTTCCACCAAAAACACGGTTTATATTCATTATCGAAAAAATTCAATCGAATAAATCTACGCAAATCATATAATTTATGTGCTTCATTACTTTTACTACTGCTAAGTAATCCATGTAAATCTGAAACTTATTTTTTTCTCCGCTAGAAATGGGTTTAGTTTTTCCCCTGGTGGTACATCATTGCATTGTGTGTAAAAATGACTACTAAACTGATGGTTAAAATGAGCGATTGATGTGCAAAGTGCAACAGCAATTAATAAGTGCACCAAACCTGCATTACTGCACGTGGTTACATATAGCATGTAAGTGTATAATGAACATTGTAGACGTCAAGGGAGGGACCCGTACGGATGTTCGTATAGAAAACGTGGTTTACTCGGTGTATAACGCCTATGTTATAACGTTATCTCGATGTATAGTGCATTATGCATATATTTGTTTTTATAAAACAACGGGCCCGCGCTCGGATTTTCTGAATATATTATAATACAATATATGTATAATGAGATATTACGACGAACCCGAGTTTTTGTGAAATCGACCGTGACCAATTGACCATACACATCGATGTGATTAAACGGCTACCAGGACATTAACGTTTTACCGGGTAAAACCAAAAAAAGTGAAAACAGGAAAAGTACATTTTATTGTACGAGTATACACTACGCCGGTGATCGTATATTATGTATATTTTACACATCATATCGATCGAACGCGCACCGAATCCAAAACTGTCCGATTATCTTAAGGCGAAACGGATGAATTCGCATATACGCCACGTACAGGTAGTGATGTAACTTATATTTGAATTATCGGTAACGAACTGCGATATAAACATTTGTTACAATAGAGAGTATAAACACAACTATTTTGTTTTTTCATTATTCGAATGATTTTCATCTAGCATAAATCTAGCATAGCTAGAGAATGAAGTTTTATGTAATGGAAGAGACGTTCATAATTTAAAAATATGAAATTTTCGAGAGGAGGATAATACTGCTGATAACGAGTGTCTATATAAATACATTAGCATTTAAAAGATCATTTACAGGGGCGTATACAAGGGGGGATGTGGGGGTCAGATCCCCCAATAGGCCATTTTAAAATTGTATAAAATAGTGTTCTTAATGTAAGGAAATTATAAGCAAATAAAAAAATATTCCAAGGATTTATTGTAATCAGTGCCGGATTTGCCGCATGGAGGCATATTTTAAAATTCTGCCCTTCATCCCCCTCCAAAAATCAATATATATATATGTATACAACAAGTAATAACATAGTTAAGATTGTTTAATTATTTTATATTTATAAACATATTGTAACACCGGTAGTTTTTAAATTTATAGACCTTAGTAGGTACTAAATATAAAAATTTTAATACAAATTTATTTAATTTAAAACATTTACAACTATTTTTTAGCTTTCTGTGCAGCAAAATCTTTAATAATATCATTCCAACCTATACTTTTTAGGAAATAATTTACAATAGATATTAGAGACAACTATGACATATTTTCATTAGATAATTATATTTTTTGGCAGTTCTTGGCTTTTTTTAAAACTGAGAAGGATCTTTCTCCGCTAAAATTTGAACATGGTATAAATATAAAAAATTTTAAAGCTATTTCCACAATAGGAAATGAATTGTTTAACTTTGATACTGTTCATACTTCAAGAAAACTGTGCATAGATAATTTTTCATTTTCTGAAAAATACTTTATTGTTGTTTTAAATTGTATAATCTCATTCTCAAGTTCCGGTTATAAATATTATAAATATTTACTAATTGCTTTGATTTTTCTCGTACAATATCATCGTCAATTCCTTCCACATTAAAAAAAAAAACCCAAACAACTCATTTATTTCAATATATGCCTTTGTATGCGCTTTTCACTCATATTGATTGAAAATAAAATATTAGACACGTTTGTTTTCCAGTCAATCGTGATTCGTGAATTGAACTCGACAACGACGACAACTATGACCACGAGACGAGAGAGAGAGAGAGAGAGAGTGAGAGAGAGAGAGAGAGAGAGAGAGAGAGAGAGATAACAAAAACAATTGCTTGGTAGTGTGTAAATAAATTATTTGAAACTATTAATATCAAATTTAATAATCTGATGGTTATAAATTATAATACACACTTAGAGATGTATAAGAAATACAATAAACACAATTTTATGTCAGTGTAACGAAAATAAAAATGCATAGTTCCGAGCACTAAATAATAACAATATGGTTTTGCTTTTAATATACTAAACACCCACAGACGGAATAATTATAATTATAATATTATAAAATTGTTATTAATATTTTTCAATAATAAATTAATAATTTTTCCTAAAAATTAATATTATATAATATAAATTAGAAAATTTCAAAACTTTTGTTGACGCCATCAAAAAATTTCCGCCCCTAAAATGTTGACGCCCAAGGCAGCTGCCCCCCTTGCCCCCTACCCTAAACCCAGAACTGATTGTAAATTATTATTTTGACACATTCAATATATATATAAATATATTTTATTATTTATCATTTAAATGTGCAGGTACTGAGGGGTTTAGGAATTTTCCTTCCATAATGATTTGTTAGCAAATGATCCCCCTCATACAAAAGTTATGTATACGCCACTACTAATTTGTGATATGATTAATAAAATATTTACCTTCGAAAAACCGTTAAAATATTAAAAAATGATTTCACATATTTGTAAGTACAACAGACTTGTCAGCGTTGTACGATATTATTGCAGCTCCGACAGTAACTTTTAGCCGTATGCTTTCAAATTTTAGATGAGAAAACAAGGGAAACTATGAAATAATAGACAATTGAGTATTTGAGTCGCTTTTGGTTTTGGTGTTCATTTTGAGTGTAGAATAAACAGTTATTTTTTTTCATGTTTTATACGGATGTTTATTGAATAGCGAGGTGACGTCTGGACGGCATGGTTTTTTTTTTTTTTTTTTTGAACAATCGAATATATTTATTACTTATCCTAATCATTAGAACGAGACTAAAAATACAAAAACCTAAATATCGAATTTAATGCATTACATCGATGTTTTTATAGTACGTGTTATCAAGTGTGAAATCGAACAGGCATTCTGCACCAGACGACCAGTTTGAACTACTTCAAGATCAGTGACCGAGGAACGGGTTTGCATATATTATAGCGCAAAAAGGAAACTATATTTTAAAAAGTCGTTTGACAAATCAATGCGAACGTATGTAGAGAAAAAAATAAAAATCAAATCCTAAAATAAATTGTTGCATTTACGTACGCTACGTCGCCGTTTGAACCGAAAATTGTTAACGAACCGTAAACACGCGCTGTCGGTGGACCGCGAGGGACTCTTAACGAGATTCTGTTGTTGGCCCATTTACGTTCGTACACGATAAACTTTTAATTTACAGTAATATTCATAATAATAATAATAATGATGATAATTACATAAATGAAGTATAATGACAGAAGTTGGTAAGTACACACGACGTGCAGGCAGCGATAAAATTCGCATAAATTAATTTTTCGATTCAAACACATTATACGAGCATACGAATGGTATTAAATATACATATAAACGAGTATATAAATTAATTTACAACATATTAGCAATTATGTTTGAATAAACTATTTTACGTACGAGTTTTAATCGTAGCTGTACGTGTGTAAAAACGTTTTTTATTATTTTTTTTTATCAGCGCTAATCTCAAAATAATTAATAAAATAATTATTAAAAATATTAATAATTATAATGGAAATTGTTAAAACGGTGTGATAAACAAAAAAAAAAAAAAAAATAACCATCATCCATATTCAATAGTAATTTTTTCTAGTTTTTTGCCCTTTTCGCAAATCGAAAT